ACGAGGCGCCCGCGCGCGGCGACTGGGCGAGAAAATGCCCTGGAAGCACCTGCCCCGGTGCTCGCGGCGCCCCTTCCCCCCCCCCCCCGCGGGGCGCCCGCGGGCGGCGGCTGGGCGAAGGTCCGGAAGCCCACGCCAGCGCACGAGGCGCCCACGGTGCGCCCGCGCGCGGCGACCCGAGGCCCCCCTCGAGGGGTGACAAAAGTCACGACGGGAGGTTTTTCACACTCTGCGGCCTCGGCGGGCCCTTCCCGGGCCTCGGGGTCGTCCAAGCACGAGTCGGGAGGAGGAGCTGGTCCAGGGGAGGGGGTCGAAGCCTCCCTGGGGGTCGACGTCATGGAGAAATCACGGCGTCGGGGGTCTGGGACTGGGCGGACTGCCCTGGGAGAACACGGCCAGCGCACGAGGCGCCCCTGGGGGCAACCACGGGCGGCGACCGGGGCGCGGGCCCAGAGGCCCATGCCCGCGGGGCTCCCTCGGGCGGCGAATCGGGGGAAGTGCCCAGACGCCAGTGCATGCAGTATGGCGAGAGAGGTTTGGAGCCCCGCATGGCGTTGTCGGGGGAGGGAGGGGAGAGCTGCTCAGGTTGACAACGTGTAGAGGTGAGGGATGAGCAGGGGAGGAGGAAGAGGAGTACGAGGAAGAGGGACGATGGTGGCGATGATGGCGATGACGACGACGACGATGGTGATGATGACGATGATGTTGGTGATGTTTATTATGATGATGATGCTGACGATGATGGCGGTTGTAATGATGCTGATGATGATGTTGATGATGATGATGCTGATGATTATGATATACTGAGGAAGCTGATGACGCTGATGATGCTGGTGGTGATGATGATGATGATGATGCTGGACGATGACGATGATGATCATTATAATGATAATGCTTATTCTGATGATGATCCTGATTCCGATTATGATTATGAGTATGATGATGCTGATAATGGTGATGCTGATGATGCTGACGATGCTGCTGATGATGATGATGATCATGATGATGATCATGATGATGATGATGATGATGATGATGATGATGATCATGATGATGATGACGATGATGATGGGGCGGATGAGGCGGTTGAGGAATGAGGATCACGACTAGGGGAGGCTGGGGAGGAGTAGGAATCATGATGGTGACGCCGACGACGATGTTGCTGCTGTTGATGATGATGATGCTGATGATGGTGATGATGATTATTACGCTGATAATGATTATTCTTCATATTACCATTATTATTAGTATTATTGTGATTATCGTTCTTGATACATTATTGTTATTCTTATTCTCGTTACTTTAATGGAGATGATGATGCTGCTGATGGTGATGCAGTTCGTGATCATGGTACTGATGGCGATGATATTAATGATGAGGATGGCGATGATATAGGGGTGCAGGTGAGGATGATGAGCGGTACGAACACGCTACCTATGACGATAATGCAAATCACGCTGATATCGGTGCTGATGAGGACGAGGGGGATGAGTACTATGACGTTGAGGATGTAATTGACGGTGATGGTGATTTTGTGTCTGTGGGTGTTACTACTGCTGGTGAAGACGGTGACGATCAAGCTGACGACGATTTCGGCGATGAAGGCGATGATGATGGTGATGATGATGCTGATGATGATGATGAGGATGAGGAGGAGGACGGTGGGGGAAGAGGATCAAGGGAGGGAGAGAAGGGGTAGGGCTGAGGGATGATGACAGTGATGAGTATGGCGATAGTGATGATGGTGATGATTGATGATGCCGATAATGCCGATTCTGATGCAGATGCTGATGCTGATGCTGATGATGGTGATGGTTATGACGATGATAATGAAGATTATGGTGATGATGGGAAGGAGGAGGATGACGAGGATGAGGGAGGAGGGTCACGTCAACTGGTGGCAGGGGAGGAGTACCATCATGACGGTGCGACGATGCTGTTGCTGCTGCTGCTGATGATGCTGGCGATGATGATGATGCGATTCCATATTACGCTGCTGATAACATGGCACTTCCTGGTGAAGAGGATGCTGATGCTGGTGCTGATGCTGCTGCTGATGATGATGAGGATGATGATGATGATGCTGATGCTGATGATTATGATGATGATGATGATGTTGATGACATGGGGATGCAGGTGAAGATGATGGGGGTGGCGATCATGATACTTGTGACGATGCTGCAAATGATGATGGTGGTGATGGAGATGATGAGTGGGATAAGAATGTTTAGGGAACGGATTTCGTTGATGGTGATGGCTATCGTGTAACTGTGGATAGTACTGCTGCTGATGATGCCTGCGATTACGACAATAATGACGATGATGACACGGATGGTGATACTGATGGTGATGATGCTGCTGCTGATGATCATGATGATGACGATGATCATGATGATGATGATTATGCTGCTGATGATGATGATGATGATGATGCTGGTTCTGACGATGATGATGATGCTGATGTTGATGAGGATGACGATGATGATGACTATGCTGATTAATGCTGATGGTGATGACGATGATGCGGATGATAATGATGATGTTGATGATGATGAGGCTGCTGCTATTGCTGATGCGGGTGATGATTATGATGATTGTGATGACGGTGATGGTGGTCGTGAGGGTGATGGTGACGATGAAGATGATGATGATGATGATGATGATGATGATGATGATGATGACGATGACGATGATGATGAAGATGGTGATGCTGATGCTGATGATGATGACGATGGTGTTGATGAGGGTGTTGATGATGATGAGGAGTATGATGATGTCTTTGTTGGTGATGCTGATGATGGCGATAATGCTAACGATGCTGATGATGATGGTGATGATGATGCTGCTGATGATGATGATTATGATGATGATGATGATGATGATGGTGATGGTGGTGGTGGTGGTGATGATGCTGATGATGATGCTGATGATGATGATGAGGACAATGATGATGATGATGATGATGATGATGATGATGATGATTATGATGATGATGACGATGATGATGATGAGGATGAGGATGAAGATGAGGATGAGGATGAGGATGATGATGATGATGATGATGATGATGATGATGATGATGATGACGATGATGATGATGAGGATGAGGATGAAGATGAGGATGAGGATGAGGATGATGATGATGATGATGATGATGATGATGATGATGATGATGATGATGATGATGATGACGATGCTGATGCTGATGCTGATGCTGATGCTGATGCTGATGCTGATGATGATGCTGCTGCTGCTGATGATGATGATGATGATGACGACGATGACGACCAGGACGAGGGTGAGAAAGGGGAGGGAAATATTTGTGGAAAGTATGTGTTCCAAGGTTTTTTTTAGCATTTGACAGGTTTTGAAAGGTCGAGATCCTCGCTTTGAGGCTCTCCCCAAGAAAGGGGATAAGGGGGAGGGGGGAGGAGGGGAGAGGAAGGAGAGAGATGCTCGAGAATTCTGAGAGCTCTTAGGGGGTGCACAGGGTCCTCGCTTGGAGGTTCTCCTAGGATGGGTGGTGACACGGTAGAGTTGACGTGCGGCGGCTGAGGCAGTCGAAGCGGGCCCCTTTGGGCGTGCGCTCAGGCCGCGCCTGCCATCGCAGACGCGGCATGCGGCTCCTCTCTGTGCCCCGACTGGTCGAAAGGGTCAAAATGGTACGGTCAGGGACTTTTGCTTAGCGTCATCGAGGGTAAGAGAACACCTAATCCTAATAAAATAGTGAAGACGTGGCCTCACTGAGGTCACCGTCTTTGCATTAGGGATGGTACATCTGGGCGGTTTGGTCTGACACATCTGCAGAAATGGCCCCCTACCCCTCATGTTTTGGCCCTCCCAACTGAGGTCCCCTCTCAAAGGGTGAGGGGTACTTTATTGCTTATCAATAGTGTGTCGCTCCGCCAGTTCTGGCCCACTACGCTGCGCCGCCACCCGCTATCCGTGTCCCAGCCTCCAGGCGTCCAGTCGCGGGCCTTTCCCGACCTCCCGCTCCAGGGAGCGGAGCGACACGCCATCAGCTCCCATGGCACAGCGTGTCGCCGGGGCCGCCACCGCGACACGCTAGGCAACAATTCCTGACCGTACACGGCTGCCAACTCAGCTTCGGCGTGCCGCACGACATCGGCATAAGAGGCCGCCGGGTCTTGGTCTGGAGGTGAGGTTTTCCGTGGGGTAGAGCAGATCAGGATCCACCCGTCTGAAAGGGTAAGTGTGGTCCATAATGTGGCGGCCCCGCCGGAAAACCTGGCGGCTGTTCGAAGCGCCACCGCGGCTTTGGTAGCCCTTGTTTCCGCACTCGGGGTCGGACAGCGGGATTTGGCTTGAGCTGCGAGTCGTCGAGGTCGTCGCAGGTGGCGATCCTTGGCAGCAGGCTTCGCGAAGCCATGAAGCAGCTGAGCCGCGTAGCGTCTTTTTGTGATGGGCTGCGCAGAGCACGTGGGCCAGGCGGGATGGACGATGGCAAGGACGAGAACAGGCGCGCGCTTGTTGTCAGCTGGGAGGTTCAAAGCCCCCTCTCACGATCGTCGGTCGCCTGCTGGCCGCGGTCTCAGCGCCCCGCTTGGCCGGGGCACGCCGCTGGTCAGGTACCGGCCTGCCGTTGCTGCTGGGCTGCGGCGCCCGGAGGGCTGCGGCAAGGGGGCCGCCACACGTTCTGGCCCGTCAACTGAAGCAGCGGAGATTCTGGCAGCTATGATGTGCAAAGGAGGAGGAGGAGGAGGAGGAGGAGGAGGAGGAGGAGGAGGAGGAGGAGGAGGAGGAGGATGAATCCCCTCCCTCTCTGCCCTGTGCGAAGCAGGACCACATGACGCACAGCGCGTCGGTGAAGACCCAGGGTTCGACGGCGGGCTCCCCCAGAGTACAGAAGGGCGTCACCCGCCTGTCGAACCAGGCCTCCTCCACCTCCTTCTCCTCGGCCTCCCTCACTGCTGAGATCTGAGTGTTGCGTCTCCTGGGTCACCTGCAGGGGCGCGACTCGAAGATCGTAATCGCGCCTCGCGCGTCGCTGTCTGGGCCCGAGCGGCCGCCCTTCTCCAAGGGGGCGGCGCGAGGGCGCGAAGATGATCGCGCGTCGCGTCGCCATTGCGGGCGCGATGCGCAGAGTCATGTGATACGTTTGTCTGACACCGGCGCTTGCTTCCGGTGTCGGGCGGCGGGGCCCTCGCGCATCGGTCCGCCTCGAGAAGTGCTGCGGGGCCCGATGGGGCCTGGGGCTCCCGTCGTGATTCGTCCTGCGATGCCGCACCTCTTCGCGACGTCGGATTTCAGGGCCTCCCCCCGCACCGGAATGGCGAAGCACTGGCGCGGCGTTTCGCAGCGCTAGCGAGCGGGGTCCAGCGCCGACCCAAGAAATCCGTGAAGTTTTTGCTCATGTTGTGCTTCGCTCTTCAGAAGAAGGGGGCCGATGCCTTCAAAGAAGCCCCCTGTTCGGAGGGGCAAAAGATAACTACAGGTGCCGCCGCCTGTCCCTCGTCGCCACACGGCCAGATCCTCCTCGAACAGCTTTGGTCAGAGCGCACCCCAGGCGAAGTCTGGGAAGTGACCCTCCTCCCTTCCCCTCCTCCTCCTCCTCCTCCTCCTCCTCCTCTCCTCCTCCTCCTCCTCCTCCTCCTCCTCCTCCTCCTCCTCCTCCTCCTCCTATTGTGCACTGAGGCCTGCTAGTGCAAGCTCTGCCGATTCTGCTTCCTCCTCCACCTCGTCCTCCGCCTCCTCTTGCTCGTGGTCGGGGGTCCCGAGCTCGCCGCTGGAGGCGCAGGGCCCCCGGGCCCGCGCGGGCGCTCGCGCGCGCGCCCGCCCCCGGCAGCCAGTTGCCGGTTCGTCCGAGGCCGCTCTGCCTGGGGCCGCGCGCGCCCAGGTGCGCGGCCATCCGCCACCTCTTGCTCCGAGTCGCCAGTCCCCTTACAGTACATATGAGCCCCAGGATTTTTTCTCGATGCCCCTCCCCAGTGGTCTGAGCCCTTCCTCCCACTCAACTCCTCGCTGAATGTGGCCACGTGGAATTGCCATACGCTTTTTGGTTCGATCCGGGGATGTGCCCGGTCGCAGCGTGCCACCTGGAGGCACCTACGCAGGCTGTCAGGTACTCATGATGTGATCTTCCTGCAAGAAGAGCATGGCGAAACTGAGGACCTCTGTGAGCTGCAGAAAGCGTTTCCCAAGTGGAAGATTTATGGGTCCTTCACGGATTCTGTCGGGGCTGGGGGTATCGTTTTCATGATCAATGAACGGCTCGCCATCCGCTTCTCCAGGTTTAGGTATGCACCGATTTCTGCTGGCCGCGTCGGGATCTTGCGCATCTTCGGGGAGGAAGGTAGTTTGGATCTGGTGAAGATCCACATTCACCCCATCATCTCTCACGTCCAGGTCCAGGGCTCACTGTACAGCATTCGTGCAAGGGTACGGCAGTCTGCGGTCACCGCCACGATCATGGGTGGAGATGCAACTTCTATGCGCACGGGGAAGGTCGGTTGCAGCTCGCCAGTAACTTGAATGAGGTTGGGTCTAACTCTCTCGCTAAATACTTCGACTCGGCCTTTCCCCAGCCGACCGAGATTCATCGAACATCATATGCTCACGCAGCCGTTCATTCTGATGATGTCACGTCGATTGGCAGACTGGATCGTATCTGCATAACTTCCCCGACCTCCGATCTCCTGGACCTCAACCCTCTCACCAGTGTGTGTTGGGAGCTGTCTGGCCGCCACACCCCGAGCGACCATGTTGCAGTTCTCTTGGCTCTGACTGGCGGTACGCGGTCTCCAGGACAGGCCATACCCCAGTGGGTGACTAGGCACCCGCACATCTCGGCTGAGCTGATTGGCTTGCTCGAGGAGGTGAATCTGTTCACGTGCCCTACTGCGCGGGTTAACGAGGTTGAAGAGTTGATGCGCGAAGCCGCGCGGAGGGTGAAGAAGATTGCGGAATCCCTCGGGCCACAACCCCCTAGTGAAACAGTCTTTTGGATGGTTGCCGTACTGCGTGCTCATCGGGATGGGAGGGGGGAGGTCGCGGAAAGGGCCTGTCGGGCGTGGCGCAATCTTTTAGATTTTTGCGACGTGCAGGTGCATCAGTGGGTGGACCTGGAGGGCTTCCAATCTATGCTCGCTGCGCTCATGCGTGATATCTATTGCCAAGAGGAAAATGAGGTTTTGCAGGATGAGGAGATGACTGGTGTGAGGAAGGCCAATGAAGTGTTCCATATTAAAGAGCTTGCTGCAGCATGGACACCCGCGCACCATAGGCTCTACCTGAAAACTGTTCTGACCGAGTCGGGGCAGCAGCTTGGCGACCCCAGTGTCAGCTTCAGGAGTAATGTGTCTAAGTATGTACCCGCCGCAGGGGAGGATTTCCACCACATGGACCCCTTCGTCCAAACCGTCCAGCCCTCGATCCAGTGGGTCCTCCGCTGTGATTAGTTTTACCCGCTTGTTTTGAAGAAGAAAGATCGTTGTCCAGGGATTGACGGGATTTTTTACTCGGCTTGGAAGGCGGGTGGTGGGATGGCAGTGGACGCGTTATAACAGCCGTTTCGCTCGGGGCTGCACTTTGGCAAGTTCGGGGGCGACTTTAACTGTTCGCTCGCGGCCTTTCTCCCGAAAAGAGAAGTGTCATCGTCCGAGCCTGGCCATGCTAGGACGGCAGCCCGCGCTCGGCCTCTCACTCTCTCGAACACCGACAACAAGCTGGTGGCGGGGGGGCTGTCCTGGCCGCTTCGGGAAGTTGCTTCGCTTTTGGTTCATCATGCTCAGGCTGGTTTTCTCCCTGCTCGTCAAATCCTGGACCATATCGTCGCCCTGGACTCGGAGCTTCTTGTTTGGTCGGCTGTCGAAGGGCACTCCTCCTCTGGAGGTGTCCTCTTTGACATCAAGGCTGCGTTACCTTTGGTATCGCATGCGTTCATGTTCTGCATTCTGCGCAGGATGCAGCTGCCCGATTTTTTTTATCCATGCCTTCAAGCTCCTGTATGACATTGTTAAGGTGTGCATCAGCTTCCGTGGCAACGAGAACACGATGTTTTTGCTCGAGAGGGGTTTTAAGCAGGGGTGCCTATTGAGTGGGTTGCTGTACGTCATAATCACAGACCCGCTGCTACGGTGCATGATGTGGAGTATCCCCCAGGTCCGTCTGCCCATTGTTGAGGAATAAGAGGTGGTCACTGTACGCTTGTGCTGATGGCTGGAGTCACGCGTCCCAGGATATTGTTCGTTCGTTACATGTGGTTATGGAAATTTTGACTTGGTTTGAAAAACGGACTGGCCTGGCTGTACACCCGAGCAAGACAGTGATCATGATTCCAGCGGACGCCCTGAGTTTGTTCGCCCAGCACGGTCTGGATGACCGGGCTTTTAAGCTGGCCCATAGTGCGAAGCACTTGGGCTTCATCGTCGGGGTCGGGGGAGAGGTCGGCTCGTGGGTGGGGCCTGATGCGAAGCTGGTTGGGAGGGCGAGGAAGATTCGGAACATGGGCCAGAGTTTCGCTGTGAATGTTCTCCCGTGCGATCTGTTCGCCTTCCCGGTGCTCGGCTATGTTGGCCAGCTCTGCCCGCCAAGCCCTGGGGCCTTGCGCTGCGAGCGTGAGGCAGTGCAGTTGCTACATGCTGGCCCCCAGAACTCGATTGCCACTGAGATGATGATGGATCTCACCAAACTTGGGTTCAAACAGGAGGTACGGGACCTGAATCTATATTGCCGTGCCGCTGCATATCGCGTTATTTTAAGGTGCCCTGCGTTGTGGAGGTGGAAGGAGGAATCTGATGATATTATTGATGGGGTATTGACTCATAAGTTTAATTCGCTTTTCTCGAATTCGATCCTCGCCTACCTCATGGGTGTCGAGGCCTCGGTCGGATCTGTCCCGAGGGTGCCGAGTGACCACGACATGGTACGCCTGCAGGCTAAGATAATGTTTGCTCTCAAGAGGCACGGTTCTCAGGCTTCGATGGGAGATATTCTTCACGGGAGGTTAGCGAAATACTCTCGGAGTGTGTCGCAGGAGCAGTCCTTTTTTGACGGGCCTGAGGATGAATCTGATGACCCGAGATGTGCCAAAATGTACATTATCGTCGGTATTGATGACGGTGTGTAACCATTGGAACTGTTTTGGTCGATGCTCTATCCCGACAAGATGTTGCAATTGTTGTGGTCGTGCTGCTGCCGATCGTATGCTTCACTATCTTCAGTGTCCTTCTTATCTTCCTGATGTGAGGGCCCTCCTACCCCTTCTTCCTGCTTCCTGGGGCTCTGGGGATCCAGTCCACTGCTATGCGTTAGGGGTGTGGCCTGGTTTGCCAAGTGCCCAACTCGTCAGCATTGCCTTTGGCATTGATCTTGTGCACTGTGCATTCAACATTCGTAGGTATTGCAATCTTGTCCGCGGCGTTTTGAAAGCTCGTGCGAGGGCGATGGCCCGTCGTAGTGCTCGAGTGCGGCAAGAGTTCCAGGGAGTATGGGACTTGGGACCTCTCTCTGTCCTCCTCCTCCTCCTCCTCCTCCTCCTCCTCCTCCTCCTCTTCCTCCTCCTCCTCCTACTCCTCCCCCCCTCCTCCTCCTCCTCCACTTCCTCCTCCTCCTCCTCCTCCTGCTTCTCCCTCCTCCTCCTCCTCCTCCTCCTCCTCCTCCTCCACCTCCCCTCCTCCTCCTCCCTTTCCTCCTCCACCTCCCCTCCCTCCTCTCCTTTCCTCCTCCTCCTCCTCGTCCGCTTCCTCCTCCTCCTCCTCCTCCTTGTTCCTCCCCTCCCTCTCTCTTCTTCTTCCTCCTCCTCCTCTTCCTCTTTCTCCTCCTCCTCCTCTTCCTCCTCCTCCTCCTCCTTCTCCTCCCCCTCCTCCTCCTCCTCCTCCTCCTCCTCCTCCTCCTCCTCCTCCTCCTCTTCCTCCTCCTCCTCCTCCTCCTCCT